AACTCCTGACATCAGCTTTGGTGTGTTAGTTTCCTCTGTATAGCTTTGCCAATTTCCAGCTCTGTGACCCAGCTTCAATGCCTCACCTCGCCGAATCTTAAGTTTCCTCATCCTTAAAAGGGAATGATGATCCTACTTATATATGAAAGGGAATGAAAGAACATTTGCTACCATTAACTGGGTGCTTGCTACACATTAAAATCATTATCTCAAAAAACAACGCATCATCTCACTGAAATCTCCCAATAACCATATAAGGCAAGACCTGTAAGTATTTTACAGATGAATTCTCTGAGAGTCAGAGAGGTGGAGACGATTGCCATTATCACACAGTTAAAAAGCAGACAAGCCAGAACTCAATTTCATGCTTGTGTGCTACCAACACACAAATGTAACTGTACTTTTCCACTTTCCCTGTATATGTGAAGCACAGTTCCTAGCACATAGTAGGTACTCAACATATTAGTTCCCTTCCTCACTCCTTCCTTTCCTCCCAAAGTGTGTGTATATACAAGCTGGGGCAAAAGTAGGATTACAGTTTTTCCTATGGAAAATAATACAATAATGAATAAATAGTAATATAAAAATAAACTCTGTTTTGTGTACTCACAACTGTAAACCTACTTTTGCTCCACCCTGTGTGTAGTGTATATGTGTGTATATATCTAAAATTCAGAGTATACTAAAATAATAAAATTATATTTATATAGCTTCTTTCCTCTAAGGAGATCATACTACTTAATCTATTTTCTCTACTAATCCTACCAAATCTCTACCTATCATTATTACTTTACTTATTTTACAAATAAGGCACTCGAAAGCAGCAAGCTGCTAGGGTGACATGCCCAGAATCAAATGGAAGTCACTGCCAAAACCAAATATAAACCTTGGTCCTTTTTTCATCTAAATCAACCTTTATCCTCTCATATGACGCAGCCTCCATAATAAAGAACAGATCATTCATTTTTTATCTGGAAAACTACCAAGCGTACAATTCAGTAAGGGGCCTCATGACCTTACCACCTTGTCAAAGGGAAGAAAGTATATAAAAAATGAGGTTTGCAGGAGCAGACGGTTTTGGTCCGTCAACTTTCTCTTGGATTACGCCCATTAGCTAACATAAAATAATGTAAAATATAATGTAACAGAGCCTCATGTCTTTGGAAATTCAAGTTAAACTCACTGATCCTTCAAACTAATATACACGGCACCAAGAGTGATCGTTAAGTCCTGCTAAGTCCTGTGGGGCTGCAGAGGTGCGCATTATGTGAACTAGATCTTTGGAAGGCAAACATGATACACAGTCAGGCCACTCGAAGGGGAACTGAAGCCAGCAGTGAGCATTCGGCAGCATAAGTTCATAGCTTGGCAGAATTTTGGAGCCCCGAGAGGGATCTGGCAGACCACTGAGAGCAGCCCCTTCATCTAGTGTAGGAGCAAACCGAGGCGCAGGGAGGTTAAGTGGCTTTTCCAAGATTTCACAGACAGGAGAGCAAGAACTAAAAAATAAACCTGCTGACTACTATCCATTCCACTTGCAAATCTTGCTTCTACTGTCCATGAGTCCACTTAGCAGGTTCCAGAATTACACATCTGTTCCGAGAGTACAGGAGAAAGAGCCTGCACGCTGATAACAGAAAAACTTGGGGTTCAAATCCTGACTACCACTTACTGACCATGTGATCTTGGGCAAGTCCCTTTCCCTTAATTTAAGTGTTTTCATCTATAAACAGTGGGTAATAGTACGCTTCACAAGTAAGCTGCAGGTAATATAAACAAAGGGCCTAGCATAGTCCGTGACCTCCATGAAGGCAAAAACATTAGGTCTGCCCGTTCCCAGCATTCAGCACCACGCCTGGCACATGACACTTGCAGAAAATTGGCTGAGCAAATCAATGAATTAACCAAGCAAATAGGTCCTGGACTTGAACCCAGGCCTACCTGATACTTAAATACTAGGCTATATCGCTTCCAATTCATATGATTTCAAGGCAGAGTGTTAATTGTTACAGAGTACCGAGAACACAATGAAATAAGATTGCCATTTTCTGGTCATAAAGCAGGAAAAAGTTCAGTGGGGAAAGTTCCTGGACTCTCAGTTTGGGGATTAATTCTTGTTGCTAACCTGGGTGCAACTTGGGGCTTTGAAACTAACTAAACGTGGTTTAGGCCCCAGCTACATCATTAGCAGTGTGAACTTGGAGATGTTACTTTACCTCTCTGAGCTTAACTTTCCATACCTGGGGGGAAAACCTACCTGGAGGGGATGGTATGACAATGAGGCAACACGTGTAAAAGAATACAGGGTAGCCCTGGCCGGCTTGGCTCAGTGGATAGAACGTTAGCCTGCGGACTGAAGAGTCCCAGGTTCAATTCTGGCCAAGGGCACATGCCTGGGTTTCGGACTCGATCCCCAGTGGGGGGCGTGCAGGAGGCAGCTGATCAGTGATTCTCTCTCATCATTGATGTTTCTATCTCTTTCTCATTCTCCCTTCCTCTCTGAAATCAATAAAGACATATATTTTTTAAAAAATACAGGGTAATATGTGGCACAGAAAGACACTCGACTAGTGTTACACTCCTTTCCCCTTCCAGTTATTTGAAAGCTTCATTCATTCATTTCACTTAGGTCTCCACTCAAATGCCACTTCCTTCCTGAACCTCTCGATCCACAATAAAACCGCCAACTCCCTCTAACCCCTTATCCTGCTTGTTTTTCTTCAAAGTCCTTACCATCACTTGATATTACATTATGTATTTCTTTGTTTTCTGTTTACTATGCCTATTCACCTATAAGGTAAGCCCAGGACAGGGGCTTTTTGTTGTTTGTTGTCTTTACTGCTATATCTCGACAGCTAGGAAAGTACCTGGCATGTAGTTAGTGCTTAATAAATATTTGCTGGATGATGGAATGAATTACTTTAATGCACTTTGTAGGAATAGGGACTTAAAGATAATTAAGAAATTATGCCCTGTTCTCAATGGTTAGAGTGCCAGCCTGTGCACTGGATGGTTGTAGGTTCATTTCTGGTCAAGGGCACGTATCTGGGTTGCAGGTCCCCCGTGCCCCAGTTGGGGTGCTTATGAGAGGCAATCAATAGATGTGTCTCTGTCACGTTGATGTTTCTCTCTCTCTCCTGCCCCTTCCTTCCATTCTCTCTAGGATCAATGGAAAATATATCTTCACTCCTCAGGTGAGGACTTAAAAAAAGGCTAATTAAGAAATGAGATTAGGGAGGAGAAACTAATTCTGCCTGCTACGGAATCTGAGCAGGCGGAAGATCCATATCTCACCTGGACTACAGCAGCTGCCTCCCCACTGTTCTCCTTGTGTCTACTATGTTCCCCTACATCCCATTTGTTGATCAACAGCCAGAGAGACCCCCAAAAGTCAACATCAGATCGATCAGGTCACTCCCCTGTTTAAATCTCTCCAATGTCTTCCCATTACAATTAGAATAAAGCCCAAACTCCTACCGTGGCCTGACCATCAGCCTCTACTCACTAGTCCAACCCCTTTTCCTAACACTGTCTCCTCCCTCCCTGAGTTCTGGGCACAATGGCTTTCTCTTTCTTAAACACGTCAAAATCTTATCATTTTTTTCTTTTTTAATTTAAAAATAAACATACAGTAGCCCCCCCCCCCTTACCTGCAGGGGATATATTCCAAAACCCCCAGTGGATGCCTGTGCATCGTACTGAACCTTACACATACTATGTTTTTTCATAAACTTACATACTGATGATAGAGTTTAATTTATAAATCAGGCACCGTAAGAGATTAACAACAGTAACTACTATAAAATAGAACTATTATACTATAATAAAAGTTATGTAAATATGGTCTCTCAAAATATTTTATCATACTGTACTCACCCGTCTTTACAGTTTCATGGGTAGATGATTTGTGCTTACTACCATAGATCTTAGCAACCTCAGCATCCGATTTTTTAATTTCTTTATTAAGTTGAGAACTTTCACCTTTTCAGCTAAAGGAAAATGTTACAGCTTCTCTCTGGCATGTCCAAATTGCCAGCATCACTACTCTTGCACTTTGGGGCCATTATTAAATGAAATAAAGGTGATTTGAACACAAGACTTCAATACCACAAGTGGTCGATCTGATAACCCAGACAGTCACTAAGTAAATGATGGGCGGTTAGCATACACAGCGTTGATACGCTGGGCAAAGGAATGATTCACATCCCAGGTGGGATGGAGCAGGACGGCTTAAGATTTCATCACACTACTCAGAATGGCACACAATTTAAAACTTATGAATTCTTTATTTCTGGTATTTTCCATGTAATATTTTTGGGCTACAGCTAACCACAGGTAAAAACTGCTGAAAGCAAAACCACAGATAAGGGGGACTGCTGTATATTTTTTTCTTTTAATACTCTAAGTTCTATATGTTTATATAATTAACAATATCCTATTCTTATGCTTAAAATTCTTCAACAAGCAAGGACTAAGATAAAAATAACTCTTCAAGGAACATGGATTCGAGAGTACAAGTATCGAGGTCTTCTCTGACGTGGGCCTTTGTGCTGGCAGTTCCCACTCCCAGAGGCTGACTCTTCCTCCTCATTCAGCTCTCAGCAAGTGGTATTTCCTTAAAGAGGCCTCCCAGGCTAAAACTGTCCCTGCCACCATCGCCCTCAGCAAGTCACTCCCTACTAGGTCTCACTGCCTTTTCTTTCCTCGTAGCATCTCATTATCTGGAATGCCTTTATTTGTTTATGTGTCCCATCTTCCCTACCAGAGCATAAAGTACATGAGGTCAAGGACTTTATCAGGTTGACTGCTGCATCTCAGCCCTCATACACAGTAGATACTCAATAAATGTTTCTGAATCAGTAAAAGTGGACCTTAAAAGATGTTGGAATTTGCCAGGAGGAGAAGTACAGGTAAAGTATGCTATCAGCCTAATAGTATCATGGGTGTTGGCTTCCCCAAGGAAACCAACATCAAAATATGTAAATTTCAGCCAAACTTACTTGGGAATGGGTACCCGAATTAGCGTCCCTTCCACTTCTGGGTTCAGATTCATTCCACTTTCTCTTATAGCCTTGATAGCTGCAGCTGTACACTGAAAACCAGATCAAAAGGTAAACAGAATTAGTAAATAATTATTACCAGATGCAAGCCCTCTGTCGATAACTGGCAACCCATCTTGGCAGAACATGGAAACATTTAGTTCTGTTACCAGTAAGATCAGGAAGTTACATTGGTGTAGAGTGCTTTGATCAAGCAGAATAGCAAACTATGTCCACTCCTGGTACTAGTGTACTGCGGGAGGAAAAAAAGCAAAGAGAAGGAAAAAATAAAAAGAAAACAGCTCTGCTTCTTTGAAAAGATTTCAATGGTTTGAGGCAAGACAGATCAAAACCACAATAAATCCTCAAGGGAGGGGGGCTGGTCTGTACAAAGATTGGTGTAAAGACAGATGAAAGATTTTATACATTAAAAATTCCAGTTGACATTTTACACTCAAAATATACCCGTGCCGACTTGGAATGAGTAAATAAATTTAACTCATTCGTATCTACACACACAGCGACCTCACATGCTTTGGAATGAGCAATGGCTCCCTGTGGGTGTGTGCTCCAGGAAAGAGAGAATGGTGTACTGGCTGCAAGCATGGACTTTGGAGTCATAAAGAGCTCAGTTCAAATCCCAGCTCTGCTTATCATGTGACCCTGGGCAACAAGCGTGACCTCTTGGGCCTCCATTCCGTAACCTGAGACCACATGGTACATACACCTCAGAGAGGACTGAATGAGGTAGCATGAGCAATGCATCTTGCTCTGTAACTGGCCCACAGTAACACCTAGGGGAGTTATTACATACATTTAGCATATAGAGGTAAGAATGCACAAAACCCCCAAACAAGGCTGAGTGTATGTCATCACGTAGTTGATGCACTGCTGTCCTGCCTGTCACCTTCCCTGTCATCCTCCAGGGTCTTCTCTGACACAGTCCTGCTAACAGGCCAGGTGGCGCACTGGTACTGTGATCTCCCAAAGCGCCTCACCTCAAGCAACAATATAACCACACCTGGCATGCAATCCTAAAAGGTAAAAGACAGCAGTGTGGAAGAGAGATGCTTTCATCGGCATGACAGTGTGAAATTCATGAAAATGAGGCCTCTGATATTTTCCAAAGAATTTTAGGTTTGACCAGAGCCAATCCACATCACTTGGATTCACAGGACCAATTCTCGATCTGGAGTTCCTCCCTCGACTTCTGGTTCAAAAGAATGGGGTTTGTGTCACACCTATTTGATTTTTCCAGGGTTTGCTTTGGTTTTGAAAACTTCTCTATTTCATTTTTAAATGGCTTTAATTCTACAGAGACATGAGGGGTACTCATAGGTGAAAAGATAAACCAGAACTTTCACATCAGATGAATCATTTCCATGGGAGGCTGTACACAGAATCTAATAGTGTGGCTACTGCTTAAAACAGTAAATTTTCTTTTTTAAAGAATACATTTTTATTGAAACATCAATAAAGGAAGGTAGAGGGAGAGACAGAAACATCAATGATGAGAGAGAATCACTGATTGGCTGACTCCTGCACTCACCCAATAGGATCGAGCCTGCAACCCGGGCCTGTGCCCTGACCAGGAATTGAACTGTGACCTTCTGGTTCATAGGTCGATTTTCATCCACTGAGCCATGCCGAACGGGCTAAAACAGTAAATTCTTAAAATGGTACCTGTGACCACAGACTATTGGAGCTGGAAGGGATCTGTGACAGCCAAGTACAGTCCCTTCCTCTTGTATATAGGACCTGTTGGATAAAGTCACATCCCTAAGCACATATGGTCTTCCGGAGAGCCGAGAGCTGTACAGTGAGAACCTTACCCATCACACTTCCACTTACTGGCAGAGTTAAGAGGAGACAGTAGGCTTCTCAACTCTCAGTCCAGTGATGCTATTCTGTCCATATTTTCTTCCAGATCCCCTAGCTTAAGTATTTAGTAGCACAGGGGATTTGACTTTTTTTAAAAACAGCCCAAAATAATTTGGAATTAGGTCTGGTGTTTAAAGGGTATCTAGCTCCTTTAAGGGTATCTTAAGATAAAGAGTATCTTAACTAATAAAAAAAAAAAAGAAATTAAAAAAAAAGAGTATCTTAAGATAAAGGTAAATAAAAGAGCTAGATAAAGAAATAAAATATCCCTCTGCAAGAGAACAGCCATTTTCTTAATAAAATGACACAGATTTTCTACAGTTAACAATAAAGGGAGAATCTCCACTTTGAAGAGGTAGCCTGATCTCAAGTCTCCCAATCCTTTTCTGATGCTTCTCACTGAATGACTGACAACTCACTGTGGTAACATCCTACCACCAGCCCCTCCCTTTCACAGTAGGACCCCAGTGCTTCCACACAACCTTCCCCAGTGGGCACCAGAGCACCTACAGCTGATACCCAGATGGACAGTCACTATGTCTCAATAGCTACATCTTCCCAGTACAAGGCTCAGTGCCAGGCACATGGCAAGTGCTCAGTAAAAGCTTGCTGCATGAGTACATTAATAAACTGACTCAGATCTATTAGACAAACTCATCTCCTTACTTTTACTTCTTATATATAACGCCCCCCAAATCCTTATTTTGTATTTTACTTGTTCTGTGTCCTTTCATATGCAAAAAAAATGCAAATCAGGTTTCATTTTGAAAAGAAACCTACTAGAAGAGGTAGTTCTAAAACATTCTAAATATGTATATTTTGGTTTGATGTGGTAGGATGCAGAAACTCAGGGAATTACAGTCATTTTCCCAACATGACTTCTGAACTACTCAGGGCTCAGATGAAAAGGAATATATTTCTATCGCATTTCCATCTTTTATCTTAGCCTTTGTCCCCTCACTGGAGGGATGCTCACCAGTACCCCAAGGCAAATAGAAAGTTCTCAAATGGCAACACTGACCAAATGATTGTGGCTGCTTGGAGAACTCTGTAGAGAGAGATCACAGATCCCATCTGGGGCCAGGCAGGAAGGCGTGCTGTCATCAATTAGCAAAGACTGCTATTGCCATTCTTAAGTTCATCTATGCTAAAGGACAAGAGATGATAAAACTTTTTTGGACAGGTCAAGTCCTTAACCCTTTGGGTTCAAGTCAACTTTGTTAGTGCCATTTCAGTGACTGGCCTTCCATTTCCTTTATATCCCAAAGAGTCCCTAGAATGTAAGGCCTATGAAAGCAGGAACCTTGTCTGTTTTTATCATCAGGGAATTAATTCCAGCACCTCAACTAAAACTTAATATCTTACAGGAACTCAAAAACTATTTGTTGAATTAATGAATGAATGGTTAAAGGAGCACAGGCTTTAGTGCCAAACAGATCTATGTTCAAATCTTGGTTCTGTCACAACGGTGTGAACCTCAGGGAGATATTGTACTTCTCTGAGCCTCAGTTTTCTCATCTATAAAATGGAACATATAATGCTTAATTTTAGAGAGTACCTAGAAACAAAACATGATCACATAAAAACAAAACATGAGAAAGTAGTGCCCGGCAACACAGTAGACACTCAATACACATTGGCTTTCTTCCTTCCACAAGGGAAATAATGGTGCCTACAGACTTTTCTTTTTTTTTTTCATTTGCTTTTTCAAATCATGCTTTGGTTTTTTACTCCCTTCTTTTCTTTCCCATCATTAACTCTAGCTGCAGGCAAGTTTATGGAAAGCAGCAACTATGTGTATCATTTATCAAGCAGGACACATGTTAAACAAATGCAACACAGTTTTCTGTCTTCAATGCATTTGAAAGGATTATGCATGTAAATCTGCATCGTGTCACTACAGCATGACACAGAAAAGCGCAGGTTCGGAAAGAAAGCCAACCGCATGTGAAACAGAAAGGAATTACATAAACACAGAGAGGATTAGCTCAGCATTTTGAAGCTATGAACCTGGGTACTCAATGGACAGCTTCTAAAGTGAAGGAAGGAAATGTTTAGTTAAGACTATTTGTTTAATATATACACCAGATGAGATAAAGGAATTCAAAAGACAATGTAACTCACACTTCCTCATTCTGTCCTTGTAAAGAACCTCTTGACTGAGATGCTTGTAAAAGTTTTTTGTGGGTTTTTTTATCCTTTAAAACCCACAGAATTTCAACTTGAAAGGCAGAGATGCTTTGGTTGAAAAATGAAGATATACTCTAACTTCCTAAGAAAAAAATTAAGCTGTTAATACCTCCTCCTACCTCATAAGATGCGCTGGTGGCCAATCACGCTTCTTCTGTGAATGCCATTTGCCATTTAATAACAGAAGTGGCTGGCTCTGAAAAGCAATCCGCCCGATGAGGTCTTCAAGCTGTGTAATTAGGAGGCTATTCCCTAAATTGGCCTGCAGTGCCAATGGGATTAGGTGAACCAGGCGGAGAGGCCTCAGCAGTTCAGAGGGGGCCACAAAAGGGTAAGAGTTGACTGTTCCCTTTTAGTCCATTTCTCAGCTCCTCAGTAACAACAGGATTGAGAGCCTCCCTTCCATCAACCTAATAACAAGTATTCATCCATTTGTGGAAAATTTACTGAGTGCTTCTATGTATGTGCCAGGCACCGTTTTAGGTGCTCAACACAATGAGTAAGTTAGATATGATTCCTGCATTCCAAGCTTATAATCTAGTGAAAGTGAGATGGAAAATAAAGATATAAATATATAATTATTAATAACGATAAGTGCAATAAAGAAAAAGAAACGTGGTCTATAAGAGAGCTTAGTGTGGAGGAGTGGTTTAGATTGGGTAGATTAGGGAAGGCTTCCCTGAGAAAGTGACATTTAATCTGTGACCCAACCAATGTCACCCCAATAAATAAAAATAAATGGATATATATATATATATAAGTATATATAGCAATATAGATAGATATAGATATATAGATATATAGATATATAGATATATAGATATATAGATATATAGATATATAGATATATAGATATATAGATATATAGATATATAGATATATAGATATATAGATATATAGATATATAGATATATAGATATATAGATATATAGATATATAGATATATAGATATATAGATATATAGATATATAGATATATAGATATATAGATATATAGATATATAGATATATAGATATATAGATATATAGATATATAGATATATAGATATATAGATATATAGATATATAGATATATAGATATATAGATATATAGATATATAGATATATAGATATATAGATATATAGATATATAGATATATAGATATATAGATATATAGATAGATATAGATATAGATATAGAGATATAGAGATATAGCAATTAGCCAGTCAACAGTGTTCCAAGCAAAGGGCAGAGCCCTTGCAAAGCTCTGAGGATGCAAAGGGTGTGGTGTGTTTGAGGAACTGAAAGATCAATTTAACTAGAGAGGTGTGTAAGGATGTCAGTAGCACAAGACTGGAGACACTGGGAGACACTGGGAGACATAGGCAGGGGCACATCATGCAAAGCATTCTAAGCCACAGTAATCTTTTTCTTTGATACCACTTGAAGCCATTAATAAATGTAAAGCATGGGAATAATATAATCCAATGTATATTTTTAAAAGTTCGCTCTGGCTGCAGTATGGAGAAGGGAATGGGGGAGTAAGGAATTCAAAAGACACATGGTCTGAACGTGTTCACAGCAAGGGCTTTTTTCTTACTCATATCTCTAATCCAGTCTGCCAAATCTAGCATGTTCACCTTTGGTCTATGTCTTTGGGACAGACACACTGAAACAGACCATTGGAACAGGAATGGACTTGAGCGTCCTTCACCTCACATTAACAACAAATGAGGAAATGGCAGACCAGAGAGTGGAGCAAGGTCAAACAGCCAGCTAGCAACGGAGATGGGGCCAGGTTCCAGGTCCTCGAGGACTTCAAATCCAGGTCCATTCCCACTGGACCACTAAGAAGAAGCCCCTTCTCTACCTCAAATTGACTTCCTATCACAGCCCCAAGGTGGCAACAATAATGCAGCCCACCTTCCAGGCTGGGAAGCACTGTGCTCTGTACAATACGCTGCAATGGTCAGTCCGGTGTGAAAGGAATGTGACCTCCTGGAGGATCCGCTCCAAACACTAATGCAGAGGTCACAAACTAGTGGCTTGTTAACGTGGTTTTTTCTCACAATCTTAAAAAAAAAAAGTGAATTAGTTATCAATATTTAACAAGAATCTTATATAAAAATGTGGATTATTGGCTTCTTCTGGAAATAAAAAATCATAATACCTGGTAATGCTGATTGCCAGGCCTACGTTTCTGGGCAAAGGCTGCTCGCAGGGCACAGGCTCCCCAGTTTACCACAGTCCCCTCCAAGTTGGCCAAGCGCCAACCACTGCATCGCCACCATTGTTTTTCTTAGATGGGGCCTGCTGCAGTAGTCAAATTACTTGCCTGGCTTCTATAGTGTTTAGTAGAAAAGGAACTTAGAAACAGGAAAGAGCTTTTCCTTCTCCCTAAGTTTCCTCCATTATGCCTTCTCTCTTGTTTCATCCCAAGCTGGAGGAAATACTTCCTGCTGCCTTGACCCAGCCTCCTCTTTCCAAAAGACAGCATGAATAAGGACCTGTGAGCCAAGCCACCTTACCTCTGGGAAGCTGGCCATATTCACCAAGATCAGCTGTGGCGACTTCATGGAGATCTCGCCAATCTGGTTTAAAGCAAGCTTCCCATCAGCAGTTACCACAGTGATATGATCAAGGGATCCTAAAAAAAATAAATAAAAAATTATAGGGTCTTAGAATTCAGAAGGACCTTAGAAGCCCCACACCTAAGTCCCTATCTACTTCAGATTCAACTAATATTTTGGGTCCCTTATCAATGTGGCAAGATCATTCCAGGGGCTTTCACAGGAACAGCAGCGTCCCGTGATGAAAACAGCTTCGACATACTGAGAAAACGAGGCTGGAATTCCTACCAGCAACCAGGGTGGCCAGCCATCCCGGTGTGCCTGGGCCTAACAGGTTTCCTGTGACACAGGACTTTCAGAGCTAAAACTGGAAAGAGTTGGTCACCTCTCCAGAAACTTTGCCATTTACTAACCATGAAACCTCAGGCAAGTTACTTATCTTCTCTATACCTTGGTGTCCAACACAGTAAAACAATAACTTACAGGATTAAAGTGAGGTTTATAGCTAAATATAAACAATCAAGTGTGTAAGCACCACAAAATAAGCACATAGAGAGGATATCTCTTATTAACCCTTAGTTCTTATAACTACTCTGTAGCACTGTATTACGATCTCCACTTTACACAGAGAAAAATGAGACTTGGGAGCTAACAAAAAATACTCAAGAGCCAAGCTTCTGAAGGCTTGGGGTGGAGTGGGGTGGGGGCTGGGTGGAAGGGAAGAGGGGAGAAAATAGGGGACGTCTGTAATAATGTCAACACAACAAGAACAAAAAAACCTTAAAGAAAAAAAGCCAAGCCTCAAACTCAGGTATGCTAAATTCTGATCCCAGTCAGGGTTCTTCCCCTTTTACCAGTGGAACTCAAATATATCAGAATCACCAGGGAGCTTTTTCATTTAGATTCCTGGGCCGCACCCCAGAGATCCCAATTCTATAAGGGATTGGGAGCCTGTGATTTAGGGAAAGCCTATAATTTTTTTAAGATCACCACATGATTCTGACATGCAGCCATGTTTGAAACCCTTTCCTTATACCACCCACCTTGATTTTGGTACTTAGATCCTCTTTAGAAAAAAAACAAACATACACCAACTATTAACACTTAACTGTTACCCTAGATCTGATCTTCTTCCACATCTGAATTCTAGAAAACCCTGGGCAAAATTTTCAGAAACCCAATAGGCAAGCAAATAAAGCCACGGTTACAGATAGAAAAGGGGCATTATTTAAAATCCCTAGTTTCCCATTCAAATGAGAACTAGAGGGGGGGAAAAAACATACTATTAACAGTAAGAACCACTCATGAAGACACAAAGAGAAAGGGGTGGGGAGGAAGGGGTCTTTTAAACAATGGGGAATTGTTAGAATAATGTAGTACCACACTATGGCCCAAAGATCTAAGTAGAAGTACTCAACCATATTGAATATCACCACAAAGAGAAGGTGGTTGATACCATTGGCTTTAATCCAGAAAAGCTCAAGAGGTATAATAGCAAAAGTTTCCTTAATTCTGAAGACAAATGTCCTGGGTTCAAATACTAACTCTGCCACCTCATGATTGTGTGACCCTGGGAAGATCCTTCAACCTTTTTTGTGTCTGTGTCCTGATCTCTAAATGGGGCATAAAAATTGTACTTATCTCAGAGGGTTGCTTGAGGATTAAATGAAAGAGTTTACAGAAAGCACTTATAACTGTGTCCTGGCATACACACATACACACACACACACACACACACACACACACACACATATATAATTTTTTTATTTCAGAGAGGAAGGGAGAGGGAGAGAGAGAGAGAAACATCAATGATTAGAGAGAATCATTAATTGGCTGCCTCCTGCACATCCCCCACTGGGGACTGAGCCCGCAACCCAGGCATGTGCCCTGACCAGGAATCGAACTGTGACCTCTAGTAGTTTCTAATCTCAGAAGTCTTATCTGACCTCCTAAACTGTATTACAAACCCCCTTGTGAGTTCCCAAACATCTTATGCATCTATAATAATGATAGCCAATATTTGCTGAACACTTCCTACGAGCAAGAAATTGTGCTAAAAGTGTCTATAATTGATATGTTTTTATTATCACAATAACCCTGAGATAGTTCCACCATTTTACAGATGAGGAAATGGAGGCACAGAGAGTAACTTGCTCAAGGTCACAAAAGCTCTTACTAATGGAGCTTGAATTCAAACCCAGGACTGACCAACTCCTAGCTAAGGTCTTCACTCTGCTTTACTATAATTTTACACATTTTGGATTAAGTGTGTTCCTTCAAATTAGGGCTCTGGGGAGGTGGGGAGAATGTCTTTTCTCTATCTACAGCACCTATTAATCAGCACAAAACAAGTGCTCAGTAATGCTTTGATGAATAAATGAATGTATATATGCATGGATGAATGAGAGAGAGCAAGAATGGACAAACGAATAAACCCATATCTTAGACAACTATTAAAAACAATCAACTACCTTGAAGATAGAAACTGTTGGTAGACAGATGAAGGTGTAAGAAGAAAAGTGCCTGCTGGTTCAGATAGTAATGAAAGATGATATAGAAGAATCTAGCCAAAAAAAAAAAAAAGACTGGCTACGTTCAGCCTGTTTCATCCAGTCTCTTCATGGCCCCAAGTTCTACGTAGAGCGTTACACAAACATAACCCTAAAGAGAACGAAGCAAAGAGGAAATACCAACGGGAGGCCTTTTGAAAATGGATCTTAATTCAGCCTTCCTGGTTTGCCTAAGATCCTCTGCCACAGGAGTCCCAACATGGGCTTTCCCAGTATGCAGCGTGGTGTTCCCATTCTCTAAATCCATATCAACTTAATGTATCAAATCCTTTTCCCTCAATCTGTCCCCAGCGAGAATCTCCCTTAGCCTCATTCCTGCCCCTCATTTTCTCAGAGGTTAACTTTTAACAAATTACACTCCCAACCTCTTTCCAGGCCATCATCTTTTTAAGTTCAACAAGAGTGGAGCTTGCTAGCTAATTTTAAGTATCACATTTCTCCCTGAGCTCCTCTCAAACTACTCTCTGGTTTCGGCTGCAGAATGTTAACAGGCCAGAAAGCACAGGGGAAACAAAGTACTTTATCAGTTTCATACCTAAAATAATAAGCAAGTTTAAAATAAACAGTTGAGAGAGATTGAATGGCACGCTCTACTGTCAGCAAAAGCAGAATGCCCAGTCTAAAGGTTGACAAATGACGGAATGGTCTTCTGGTTTCACACTGGATCTTGTCGCTGAACTCAGGATGTTTCTGCTGGTGTTTATAAATGGAGCTGTGTATTTTTCACTTGGTTTTATTAAGAACAAGCTCATGAAATATTTTCTAGTTTCCTTACAAACTATCCAAACCAAGATGTGAATGGGAACCGCCCAAGCTCCCACAGATATCTTCAGAGGGGGTCCCAGGCTTGACTCTAGGATGATGACAATTTCCAAAAGGCCAATTTTACAGCAATTGGATTTTTCCTGCCTGCCTGCCTGCACCATTAGCTGACAACTCACTTCTTCCATCACATCTGCAAACAGTTCGCCTAGACAGTTCTGACATTTCCCACTTAGAAAAGCCACTTTCAGGAAGTTATTAACCCAAACGTAATCTTCCTGGTCAAACACGGGGGTACAGAAATGCCTCAGGTGGGCAGGTTTGCCGCCAGTTGGTTCCCAGTAAGGGATAAGAATGGCCAAATAGGACAAATTGGAAAAAGTCAGACCAAAGATGTCAGCTACTATGAGACTAAATACCTAGAAGCATATATAGTTGTTTATTATTATCATAATAAAACTCCCAATTTTTTAAGAGTACCATGAGAGCCAAGAGCATGCCTGTTTTATTCACCACTGTGTACCAGTACAATGCCTGGTTCATAGTAGACAAATATTTGCTGAATGGATAAATAAATGTCAACTACGTGCCAGTCACTGTGTCAGAACCATTACATATGTTACCTCACTATTTTAATATGCACCCCAAAGCTATAAGGTAGGAATTAGACAAGGAAACGGAGGAACAGAAAAGTACAGTAACTGCCCATGGTCGCCAATTAGTAAATCTCAAAGCTGGAATGAAAACGCAGCTCTGCCAAAGCCATGATCTTTCCCCCACGCCCTTCTCCAAAATACTGGTTCAGTCACTAACCTGGTGAGGTCCTTATATTGACAGTCTTATTGAAATTATCCTTGAGTGCTTCCATCACAGACTTCATTTCTTCTTCCACCTCTTCCAAGCTGATTATATCCTCCACCAAGGCAGTGTTAAGATTCACTCTGGTTTGGGACTGTCCTTTTCCTTTGGCTAAAAGGTCAACATTCAATGAATAAAAGAACAGCAGACAATAAACAATCAGTGAAGAAGTGCCTACTATGTGCAGGGCAAAATTCCAAGTGCTAGAAAATTAGAGAACATTATCACTGCCCTATAAAAAATGTCTACATTTACTGAGTGTCTATTAGAGACTCAGCATGGTGCTAAAAGCACTTTCTCAGACACTAGTGAAGGCACAGACTTTATACAGAGATACCCCAGGTGAAAATCCTGGCTATAATGCAAGCTAGCCTTATGGCCTTGGGCATGTTACTCTACTTTTCTGAGCATCAGGTTCCTTATCTGTAAAACAGGGATAATATCTATATTGCTAGGTTGCTACATGGATATAAATTAAGTAATTCAATACCTAAAAGAACACTATCCACATGGAAGACACTCCATAAGTGAATTAATTCCTTGTTTTTTTTCAGAAAAATAAACAGAAGATGAGAAAGTTAAAATGACTTGCCTAATATTATAAGGTCATGAAAGAGTAAAACCAAGATTTGGTCCCAGATCTTTCTAATTTTAAACCGATGAACTTTTCACTGAGCTGCCTCCATAAAGTCTAATTGGAGATACAGAAATATATTAATTAATTATAAAATAAATACTAAGACAAGGATATGCAAAGTATCTGATAGCTGCTACCAACAAACAGAACAACAATAGTTCAGAAACATTTACCACCACCAATGGTAGTGACAATGGCTTATATTTTAGAAAACTGAAGCATTGGAAGCTAATTAAAGTTCTGTTTTATGTCTAAGCCATCATGGCAATTTTTCATACACATTCTGACCACTATGGTGAGTAATACAAATATTTTTGAAGGGTGAGGGAAGGAGAAAAATAGAAAAATATTTAAATAATATCCTACAGTTATTTCTTAAATAATCGGTAAACATTTATTGAAATTCATTTACAACAAAGACTACTAAACATCTACCATGAGCTAGATCCTGTGCTATTTGTACAGTGCATATCTCATTTATGTACCTCACGTTTCCTCATTTGTAAAATGGTGAGACCTGTGCTTCACTGGATAATTATAATTTCTTCAAAGGATAATTATAAGGATTAAATTATTAAATGTAGGTGAACTTTTTAAAAATTTAATACAACATACAAATCAAAAGTTAATACTGTTGTCACTATTAAGAGGACATGAGTCTTCTATGCATTAATAATCTTTCAGTGACTTGTTAATTTTCCTATTAACAGAAAAGGGAAGGTTTGCATGAAACCATATAAGGAAAGTCAGTGGAAAAAAATATTTAGCAGCATATTTCTAGCACCATCCTTGGGAGTAGACTCCCTGACCCACCACTTCAAATAGCAGGTCTGTTTGACAATTTTCTGTCACTCATTTATTCAACAAAATTTTTTGAAGCATACTATATGTCAAGCTCTGTTAGATGCTAACCAAGAAAAACACAGGCCCTCCCCTCATTGGGTCCAGCATGGAAGACATATAACAAACAATAATCGAACCTACAATGAATTAACTAATTAATGAGTACTGTGCTAAGTACATCAAAGGTAAAATAACAGTGCGCACGAGTGCACGTAACAAGGGACCTGACCCAGTGTAAGAGGTCAGGGAAGGCTTCCCTGAGGAAGTGACATTTAAGCTGAGATCTGGGGTATATCAAAGTCTCATTCTTGGATGACACAAACCATTAAGATCATCCATCTAAATCCATAGCTCTAATACCCCTTACCCAACAACCTTCTGGTTTTAATTTTACTTCCAACATAGATCTTACTATAAGGAGAAAAATGGGTTGATCCCTTCCTCAAGCATTATACCTTTAATTCTAAATTTAAAGAAAGAAATTAGGCATTTCTGAGCTATAGTAACATATGAGCAACATGATAATGAGAAAACAGACCGTAGGTTCTCTATCACTGTGACCTTTTAAGCTAATCAATTGTATTATGTGAGAAACCATTTCCTCATGTGGCAAGGGGAGAAATTCAGTACATCTCTGATGTCCTTCCAGCTATGATAATTCAAGGGCTAAATATAAGAAAGGGGTGAAGAGGTCAGATGTCTCTACCTTTGGCTTTCTTGGTAGCAAAATGACGGGTTGGTATAGCTGCATAGGCCACGTATTGCCCGTGGTCATTTTGTCTTCCACTCACTGTCTTCAGCATAACTTCCGAAACAGGTCTGGTCAAGGCTGCAAGAGAATTGCAAAAGGCAGGATGGACCAAGCGGAAGCACCTTAAACCCAAGGCCATGACTGAAGACAGTCTGTGTGAACATCTAAAAAGAATAAGACAAAAACAGACTCTATTACAACTTCAGAAAATAATCTGAATCAATTATCAAACAACTCCTATAAACTGAGCTATGTGTTAGGCAATTTAAGTACATTATCTCTAATCCTCCTCCCAACAGCCTCCAAGGATGTGAACATCTAAAAAGAATAAGACAAAAAGGAGATATAAATAAAACAGACTCTATTACAACTTCAGAAAATAATCTGTATCAATTATCAAACAACTCCTATAAATTGAGCTATGTGTTAGACAATTTAAATACATTATCTCTAATCCTCCTCCCAACAGCCTCCAAGGAAATACGATTAGCCCCATTTTACAGGACAAAGAAACTGAGGCTCACAGAGATTTAAGTAACTGGCCCAGTCTGTAAGACTCCAAATCCCCATGCACCAAATGCTTCTTAGTACACAAGGAACACAGAGCTAAGCAAATGATGCTGATTAAATCCTTATAGGAGAAAAGGCACTACTATAAAAAGGGAGGGCAGAGCGCTGGAAGAAAACTTTAAATAAGAAAACAATTTCAACAGGCATAAAATGACTGGAAAATTCACACGACAGCATTTAATTAAAATTTTCTTTGGTTCCTTATGCACTGATTACCAATTAGAATGCACTTTAATGTGAGTCTGAAGCATGGTTGAGGTTTGAGGTCTTCCATGTTATAGAATTAAAGGTCTGGAAAATGCCACCCTTTTCTGTGCTAACACAAGTTACACATTATACTTCTGAGGTCTTTGACTATGGAAAGATGCTGGAGTCTACAGCTACCTCTAGGATAAAACACAGTCCTAGCAAACTGACAAATGTGCTTCTGCCAAGAATTGGGCTATTACTCATCTAAAAATTAAGAACAATTAGCCTCAAATACCTGGAAGCTACTGTCTTTGAAAATCAGTCTCATACTGCACTAAAACGAAACAAAATTTCATCCTAAAATTTTGATGTAGTACAACAGCCTGAATAAGAACATGGGTTTTGCAAGCAGGAAGGCTTGGAACCCATTGCCAGCTCCATCACTCACTAAATGTCCCTGAACATCACTGCACCTTGATTTCCTCAGCTGTCAAATGGGGATATAGTTATTTCTTAGGGTTGGGAAGAATAAATGAGTTTGTGCAGATAAACACTTGGCCCAGTGGTTAACAGACAGCTGGAGCCCCCAAAAGGGATATCTACTGATCGCTTTGACACTTTTCCTTTCAAAGACTTCCACGACACGGTCAGACACAATAAAGAAATCTTGCATGTCACTACTGATGTACTGGTAGCCCAGAGTCAGTCAGATCTGGATATAAATTTCAACTTTGGGCCATTCACTCCATTTTTCTGGGTATAACTTTCCTCATCTGCAAAATGAGAAAAATATCCTGATCTTAAAATGAGATGGTGAATACATGTAAAACACCTAACACAGTGCCAGGAACACAGCACCTGCTTAATAAAAGCTATCATTATCATTATTTTTTAAAAGAGCAAATGAATAGCACAAAGGCAAATAACTTCTCCTGATGGAATTTTTAATAGCAAGAGATGCCAGATGTCAGGGATCAGTGTGTGAAGTCAGTAAAAATAGATCTGGACAAAAACAACAACAACAAATGAATAGCATTTCCTCTTCTTTAATTATTATCAATAGTTACTATTAATTGAGGTCAGGCCTGGGTTGCTTGCTTTATCCATATTATGAGTATTTCACTTAATCCCTTTATTAATACCACAAAGAAAGTATAATAATCTCCATTTTACAGATGTAGAAACTGAGACTCAAAGACATTGTCACTGTTTAAGGGCATGGAGCTAATAGCTCTGCCCTATTTCAGCCAAACTGTTCACAAAAGTTTGGCTCTAAGTGAGGTTTCTATATCTAGGTTTTTGCCTAATATAGCCAATGCCTAACCCACACTTACATCCAAATATGGCTATATAATAATGTGTGTTTTTTGTTTTTTTAATCGACAAGGTCTCAATCTGGCTACTCCATTCAAGACAGGTTTCCTGGTGTTCCTGTTGCAGGTCATAATACCAATCCAGAAAGCAACAGGAAATCAAAATGGGTTAGAAATAAACAACCTTTGCCAGAAAACACAACACCCAAAAGCAGACCCAGTACACGTGAACCGGAAGCCAACTCTATAAATAAACCACATTGCTGAAATGCTTAAGGCGTAGATTTTAATTGCACAGAAGTCAGGAAATTTCAAAGTGGAAGTTCAATAAAGGCAGTCCCTTGGACCCTTTACCTTAAGGATATGCATATTAACACTCAGTTCAGCACAAATGAAGTCAAGAAAAGCAACTGTTATGGGAGCCCAAGTATTATCCAACAAAATTAACCTATACTCAGAAAAACTGTGGCAGGAAGCACGCTGTCTTGAACTAGAATCTCAGCCCGCCCCCACCACTTACTAGCTGTATGACCTTGGGTAGACCATTTATCCTTTTTGAGCTACAGTATATGGTACACCGCATCTTTATCGTGGTGGTATTAATGAGCCTTTAAAAAGATAATTGTTTACACTAATAATGAAACAATAGCTACTACTTATATAGTGATAACTATGTGCCCGAAACAATTCTAAGTGCTGTACTGCATACATTAACTCATTTGAGCCTTTCTATAGAACCTACTTTAACAATATCAGTTAATATTTGTGTAGTTATTTGATCACTGTCTAATTCCCTCCATATTCCTATAAGCACTGTAAGGACTGGCCTATGGTTGTCTTGCTCACTGCTGTATATAGTTATTTGATCACTGTCTAATTCCCTCCACGTTCCTATAAGCACTATAACAGGGGTGGGCAAACTTTTTGACTCGAGGGCCACAATGGGTTCTTAAACTGGACCGGAGGGCCGGAACAAAAGCATGGATGGAGTGTTTGTGTGAACTAATATAAATTCAAACTAAACATCATTACATAAAAGGGTACGGTTTTTTTTTTTTTAGTTTTATTCATTTCAAACGGGCCGGATCCGGCCTGCGGGCCGTAGTTTGCCCACGGCTGCACTATAAGGACTGGCCTATGGTTGTCTTGCTCACTGCTGTATCCCCAGTGCCTAGCACAGTCCCCGGACACAGAAGACACTGAAAAAATGAGATGGATACATGAATGAAAGTCTAGAAAAACTAAGTCCTTGCCCAAGGTAACAATGCTGGCACCAGAATGAGAATCTAAACCTCAGACAGTGGCTCCTGAGCTCTACTTCCCAACACTGCTTCAATTACCTTCTCGTTTGCCAGATTTTCACCTTAGATAGCAAGGCATGTTTTCCTCTAAATTCAGGGCCATGTAAAGTTATGTATAGTACCTGACTATATACAGAAGCAAGTCCCTGGCACAGCCACAGGAGGGATAAGACACTTCCATAGGTGGAGAAGGAGCTTTTGCCTAAGAGGTAGGATGTCTGGATTACAATATTTCTCTCTCAGCATTCTCTGCCAACGGTCCTCTTTAGATTCATAACCACCTGGTATCCAAAAAGCACTTGTGGCGGCTCCACGACTGACTTGTGGCTTGTATCAAGTCACTTCTTCTACCTAGGTTTTGTTTTCCTCAACTACCTTTCCAATGATAAGACTCTCCCAGATTCTGAGAAATGCAATAGGACGTGGTGAAAAGAAAAAGGCACCACACTTAGAGAAGACCCGGAAGCGAGTCTTGGTCCCAGCACTTACTAAGATGTGACCTTAGATAGGTCAGACCCTGGGACCTTCGTCTCATCTGTACCCTGTAGGTGATAATACCATCTGTGGAGCAAATGAGATAAGGGCTGCAGACGCACTTTGTAAACAGAGGAGGGTTGCTGAGATGACAACCGTCTTACCACGGGACGGGACGGCACAGGGTAAGGGTTGAAAGTTGAGGCTTTGGAATTTAAGCTCCATTAATTACTAGCCACGTGACCCGGGTAAAGTTTTTCTTTTTTTCCTCTGCGCTTCCGTTTCTTCATCATGGGAATAATGATATCTATACCCGTGGTACTGTTCTGGAAACTAGTATTCCTGCTAGGTGATGGGCTACTAAGTAGCGGCTACAATTTAGTAAGCGACCCCACATACACATACATCAAATGCTCGAAGTTCCTAGCTGATGACACGTGTTCCGCCCCCAACCCGTGACACCGGCTCTGATGCTACAGGTCCCGCCCCCAGCCGTAAGGTCAAGCCGGACTGGATGGGACTTGTCAGGGTACCACGATCAGGCCCCCTACGGTCCCTAAGAAGTCGTGGGGTAGAGATCTCTGGCACCGGGAGCCCGCGCGCGCCTCCAGGCCGGGCCGAGACCACTCACCAGCTATCACCCAGGCTATTAGGAAAAGACTCTGGCGACCTCGGCGACGGCGGCGGCGCTGGCGTCGTGAC